ATTTGTCTCCCAGTTCTTTTCATTTGTCTCCCAGGCTGGGTGCTTGTGGTCGGGTTCCCGGCCGGCTTGTCTCCCACTTCTTTTCCCAGTTCTTTCCACCCAGGCTGGGTGCTTCTGGTCGGGTTCCCGGCTGGCTTGTCTCCCACTTCCTTTCATTTGTCTCCCAAGCTGGGTGCTTGTGGTCGGGTTCCCGCCTGGCTTGTCTCCCACTTCTTTTCATTTGTCTCCCAGTTCTTTTCATTTGTCTCCCAGGCTGGGCGCTTGTGGTCGGGTTCATTTGTCTCCCACTCCTTTTCATTTGTCTCTCAGGCTGGGTGTGGTGGGGTTCCCGGCTGGCTTGTCTCCCACTTCTTTTCATTTGTCCCCCAGGGTGCTTGCTTCTGATCTGCTTGTGGTCGGGTTCCCGGCTGGCTTGTCTCCCACTTCCTTTCATTCTCAATGCTTGTGCTCGGGTTCCCGGCCCGCTTGTCTCCCACTTCCTTGAATGTGTCTCCCACTTCTTTTCATTTGTTTCCCAGGCTGGGTGCTTGTGGTCCGGTTCTGGGCTGGCTTGTCTCCCACTTCCTTGCATTTGTTTCCCATTTCCTTTTATTTGTCTCCCGCGTCTCTTGTCTCCTATATCTGTCACTGCTAATTTCTGCCCTTTTCTGCTGGCCATGCAGCATTTCTATTCATGTCCCAGGTCCGTCACTGCTGGTGTCCGCCCTAGCATTTCTATTCTTTTGTCTTGCAGGTCTGTCACTGGTGTGTCCTTGTGTATTGGCCATGAAGCATTTCTATTCATTTGTCTGCCATGTCCGTCACTGCTGGTGCCATGTAGCATTCATTTGTTTCCCAGGTCCATTACTGCTGCTGTCCGCCCTTTTCCGTTGGCCATGTAGCATTTCCATTCATTTGTCTCCCAGGTCTGTCACTGCTGGTGTCCGCCCTTTTTCCGCTGGCGATGCAACATTTCTATTCATTTGTTTTCCAGGTCTGTCACTGCGTCCGCCCTTTTCCGCTGGCCATGCAGCATTTCTATTCATTTGTTTCCCGGGTCTGTCACTGGTGCTGCCGCCCTTTTCCGCTGGCCATGTAGCATTTCTATTCATTTATCTCCCATGTGACTTCTTTCTTTTTGTCTTTCAGGTTTGGTGCCTGCACTGCTGTTTTCTGCCCTGTCCGCTGGAACAGGCCCGCGTGTGAAAGGTTCTTGCTCCTTTGAAAGGGGTGAGTGACTGTCTCCGGGATTGCATTGCTGCCACACTGTGTAACTCTCTCAGCTTGTTTTCCTTTTCGGGCAAGCGTTGGATGAATGACCGGGTTGGATTTCGGCGGCGTGGCAGCGATCTCTCTGTTCAGTTGGGACGGAGGGCATACGTCAGGCACCAAAAATCAATTTCACGTCACATCCTTCGCTCCTCATGTTTTTTTTCTTGTCCTCACGTGGCCAGCTGCCCGCTGATTGAGCAGCATGACCAGCATCATGTTCGCACTTGAAGAATAATTCCCGAAAAGGTTTACTGTTAGGGCTTCTCAATTCTTTCTTAAGATGTGTCCGCCTGCTCTGTACTGCTGTGTCCGTCTCTGCCTTGCAATCCTTTACATTTGTCTCCCAGCTCTGGACGTCGCAAGCTCTAGTTTAACTGTTTGGGGTCTACGGCGGTGTAATTGATTCATAGGATTCCGGCGGGGTGCGGATTTGATTGGACTTGCCAACGCTTGTTGTTCATGTTTTGAGGCCTCGTCCAGACGCCCAGCATTGTGGTTTTCCGGCAAACGTCATCTGCTTCAGGTTCACTTTCCAACTAAAAAGAGGATCCAGCAACCCCTGAATACCTGGCAGGTAACAGAAGGTTCGTATCATTCTAAGAGGTTCTCCTCTTTAGTTGGACTATGTTGGACTGGATATTGGTATGCGAACCGCGGCTCTAGCCTTAAGCCCAGAGTCGTCGTCATCGGTCTTCAAGAGAAACTCTGCTTCCGCTCGCGCTGCGATCCATTCTAAGAAGAGCAGGCCCTGCAAGCGACATCCCAGTTGACATTCCAGGAAATTCCATCTGGGAACTTGAGCAAACTTCGAACTGCAAAAAAAGAAACTAAAATAAAACAACAGCTCGAGGGATTATATTTGGAGGGCATCTTTTAGAGTAGGTCCAAGGACTCTCCAAACAGACTTGCATTCTGGATCATCCGGTTTTCCAAACTTTCCACAATGTTCCAGAACTCTTCTCCCCAGCATCCAGTCCATCACCAAACTGCGGAAAAAAATAAAAATAGAATTACACCACCGTAGACCCCAAACAGTTTGTGTTTTCAGAGGGAGACAAATGTAAAGGATTGCAAGCGACATGCAGCCCAGAGCTGGGTGACAAATAAAGGATTGCAAGGCAGAGGCGGATACAGCAGTCTAGAGCTGGGAGACAAATGCAAAGGCTTGCGAGGACACATGACCAACAAGAAGGGGACAACAAGGGAGACAAGAAGGGAGACAAAAGGAAACACAAGGGAGACAAGACGGACACAGTGCCCAACAAGAAGGGAGACAAGACTGGAGACAAATGGAGACAGAAGGGAGACAAGGCGGACACAATGACCAACAAGAAGGGAGACAAGAAGGGAGAAAAAAGGAAACAGAAGGGAGACAAGAAGGGAGACAAGGCGGACACAATGACCAACAAGAAGGGACACAAAAGCAACCAGAAGGACACAGTGACCAACAACAAGGGGGACAAGACCAGAGACAAAAAGAAACAGAAAGAAGACAACACGGACAACAAGGAGGGAGACAAAAGGAAACAGAAGGGAGACAAGACCGGAGACAAAGGGAGACAGAAGGGACGAGGCGGACACAATGACCAACAAGAGGGAGACAAAAAGGAGACAAAAGATAACAGAAGGGAGACAAGACAGACACAATGATCAACAAGAAGGGAGACAACAAGGGAGACAAAAGGAAACAGAAGGGAGACAATCTGCGAGGATCGTGCGTGTCATATGATAATGCGTGGTACAAAACGCTCGTTCTGGAGACTTCCGCGGCTCACTTTTGAAGGAAGTCTCGTACAAAACGCTCGTTCTGGAGACTTCCGCGGCTCACTTTTGAAAGACGTCTCGCACAAAGCGCTCGTTCTGGAGACTTCCGCGGGTCACTTTTGAAGGAAGTCTGGCACAAAACGCTCGTTCTGGAGACTTCCGCGGCTCACTTTTAGAGCATGTCTCGTACGATACGCTCGTTCTGGAGACTTCCGCAGCTCCCCTTGGAAAGAAGTCTCGTGCGAAACGCGCTCTCTCTCTCTCTCTCTCTCTGTCTCTCTCTCTCTCTCTCTAGACTTGCGCGGCTCACTTTTGAAGGAAGTCTCGTACAAAACGCTCGTTCTGGAGACTTCCGCGGCTCACTTTTGAAGGAAGTCTCGCACAAAACGCTCGTTCTGGAGACTTCCGCGGCTCACTTTTGGAGGAAGTCTCGTACGATACGCTCGTTCTGGAGACTTCCGCGGCTCACTTTTGGAGGAAGTCTCGTACGATACGCTCGTTCTGGAGACTTCCGCGGCTCACTTTTGGAGGAAGTCTCGTACGAAACACTCATTTTCACTAGCAAATGCTACCTTCGAAGCACTACCGAATGATGCGTGTTCCAAAATGAGCCGCGAAATTGGTCTCACGCTGCAGTCCCGGAGAGTTTTCTTTTCGTCTGGGTTCCAAAATGAGCCGTTTCTAGGTTCCAAAATGAGCCGTGTACCCCAGCAGGGCAGACCTGGGAGACAAATGAATAGAAATGCTACATGGCCAGCGGAAAAGGGCGGACACCAGCAGCGACAGACTGGGAGACACATGCATAGAAATGCTACATGGCCAGCGGAAAAGGTGACAGACCTGGGAGACAAATGAATAGAAACGCTGCATGGCCAGCGGAAAAGGGCGGACACCACCAGTGACAGACCTGGGAGACAAGTGAATAGAAATGCCACATGGCCAGCGGAAAAGGGCGGACACCAGCAGTGACACAAAGGGCGGACACATCTTAACAAAGAATTGAGAACCCCTAACAGTAAACTGTTTGAGGAAAAAAGCTGCAAAGAGTGGACCGGAAAAAACATGAAATGAGTCTTTAATCCTTTAGAAATAGGGTGACAAATTCTATCTATATACTATATATATCTATATATATTTGAAACAAAGGGAGTGTAAAGGTCAATATCATACCCTTGCACCCAAAGAAAATCTCACTGACCGTGTGGGTCCTTGCGGCTGTTCATTCGATAACCCTCAGTGACAGGCAAGAAGACCAGGTCATTGTGCTCCTCCATCTCACGGCGCATGCGCCGCTCCTGGCTGCGAGCACTTCACAGAACTTGCGCCGCCGCCAAGAAAGAACTCCGGTTTGACCAGGGAAACCAGACCAAGTTGAGAACCCGCCAGGTCTATTCAGTCTATTCACCTCTCATTTCAGGCAGTTTGCCTTGCACCTTCCTTAAATGACACCCGCCTTGCCTCCCGCCTTGCACCCCCACAAAGCCTCCCTGTGGTGAATGGATCGCTGGATGGTGTGTAAAACGAGTCTCGTGGTCTGATATTCCGACAAGAAGTCCGCAGCAGGCCGAACCTTCCAACGAGTTCCAAAGCCACGAGACGTTCAAAAGTTTGGCCTGACAGCGTAAGACTTTTTGTGGTATACCTCCATGTCGGGAACCTTACCATCCATGGGCCGCTGAACAAACCCCCTGCCCGCTCGGAGAATGTCTGAAAAATCACATACCAGGCTTCGTCACTGCTGGCGCCCGCGCTGGACTCCCCCAGAAAGAAGCGAAAGCGGAGGCGGAAGGTCTCCCGCAACAGCCGGCCCCAGGTTTCCTCACTTTGGACCGCTCGGGCAAGTCATGGCATGCAGCTCTTTGACCCTTTACAAAGGGGAAACTTTGCCTTGGATTTCAATGAGCCCAGGGTGATGGACCGATTCGATTAGGAGACGCACCATATCTCCATAGCAGGAGGTGTGCAAAAGATTCGGGAGATCTTTGACATTCTCCACGTTTCGCAACCACTGCAGCCAAATCCAAGAAGTGCTCAATCTAGCATGGAAGGCTCAACACCCAAGCCTCAAAAACCACCTGCCAACACAACCCAAAATGCGTTGGCCCTAGACTTGCTCCGGTGTTCTGACATGGATCTCCGCCTGAAGCCCACCTTTTCAGAAGCTTTGACCATCTTTTGACAAAACCAACTCCAGACTCAGGGGCTTCCTTTGCTCCACTGAGTACATCCACAACTACCCACACCCACTGTTGAGTACTTCCTTTCAGAAGCTTTGACTCCGTTGCACAACTATGATGTCCATCCACTGATTAAAACTCTACCCATCAACATCCGGAGTGGAGCCAATCCCCACAGCATCCCTCCGGTCAAAGATGCCCGCACCACCGATCGCTTCTCAAAGTTCCGTCGAGCAGAATAGATCCCCACGAAGACCAGCCTGGTCTGAATCTCATCCAAGTTTGAAGTTTGATCTTGAAAAAGGCGGAAACTGGTCGTTCAAGTGGACTCCCTCTTAACATATATACATCATATACATACACTTCAACAAAGGGTTGGGTCTGAGGCTGGTAAACCCCAGCAAGGATGTCAAGCACATTCTCTCTCACGTCCATCATGAGCGTGCAACACCACCGGACCGCTACATGCTCCAAGTCGATCCAAGTCACGGGGTCTTCACAGGATCCGCAATGAGCCTGGTCAACACACATTGGAACTGGGAGGGTATCTCTTTGTCCAAAGAAATGATTGGTGAAAGGAAGGACAAGACCCGAGAAGCGGAATCTTGTGGATTTTTTTGCAAATGGATCTCCGGTGCTTGGGCTGCACTCTTCATATAGAATTTCATATCCCATATCACTATCACTCTTCAGCATCAACATCCATCCTGCCTGCACATGGTGCATGCCTGGCTGAAGAGCTTCTCCTCAAAGGGTCGGTTGTATCCTCGGTCCGAGCTCATGAGGTCCTGTATGATGGGTGTGGATGAACCAAGCAACCTATGGACGACGTTCTCTGAGAATCCCCTGAGGTCCGTTAGGTATTGCAAACATCAATACCTTACGACGATCCCACATCAATACATTCACTAAAGCTCCTGGCCACGAATTGCATCCAAGCATCTGTACAGAACCTCCGCTGAAGCGATGAAGCGATGATTCGTTTTAGATGCATGAAGGGCTAGCGAATAGCGACGCAGTTTAATGCAATCGTGACAGAAGAGTTGAAGCAAAGGCCGTTTTTTCCTCCGAGTCTGTAGCCATTTTCTCTTCATTGGTCTCTTATTTGTTCTTTCTGTTCTGCTTTTGACTTAGCTCCATTGTTGTTTAGGGAATATCCACAGTTGGATGGCTCTTGATTTCTCAGCATTTCCAATGACCAGGGAACCAGGTATGAAGAAGCTAGGGCATGAAGAGCACAAGCCCTCTCTCCCTCCACCGACCCCCATCCACCTGGTCTTGAATGATGCGCTGGTAGTGCCACAGTGCACCAATGTGCTTGTTATGCCTGGGCACAGGGGTCTGAAACTACGGTCCCTCACACCTAGAAAGCCTCACGCTTTCACAAACAGTGCCATAGTGACAGCCTCACAGAGCTTGTCCACCAGAAAATGCACCATTTTTCGAGTACAGCTTGCGAGCAAGCGGCCGATTTAAGGTCTCGATCCTGAGCTTCGCGGCACTTCAACTGGAACGAGTCACCCGACGAGCTCAGTCAACGGCTCAGTCAACGACTCTGCTTGAGGCCTTCCTGGAACGATCCACATGGCTACAACCGGGGAATGGGCTCTTTCTTGGAGGGTCAACCAATTGGTAAATCTTTTAAACTTAAATTTGGCTCAGCATATGAAAAAGTGTTCCGCAATCCAAACGAAAGGCCAATATCCTTGTCATCACAGCTTCGCGTTGATCACCCCTCTGTTGACCAAACAGGTTGCTGCAACCTTGTAGACTAGAACCCAAACAGCGGCAAAAATACACTCGACTTCATGTCCCACTTCCAAGCTCAATGTGAGGATCCTTTGGCTTCTCCCAACAGTGGACCAGCTCATCAAACCATATCAAACCCCTCCACAGCCAGACCGTCGCTTCGCCCGATCGACGGCGCCGAGAAGGCCGGTCTTAAGGGGCCGGGTGGCGTCTCGACCAGGTTGAAGTTGTCAGAGTCGAAGTCTGCAATGGCATTGAAGACCATGGACCTCTGCATGCATTTTTGGGTGAGAGAGAAGCACCGTCACGGCTGTCACACGTCAATTCTTTAAGTCCAAATGGAGAAACACCACGGGTTTTTGATATACCATGAATCTGAAGAACTTCTTCGATCAAGATCCGCTCGAGGGGCTGACAACGAAACATGTTTGACAGGCCTGGTACCCCTGTGTACTCGTGCTGCCAGGAGGCCCCACTTCAACAAAGCCGTTGAAGACGGCAATGGTGTGGTACCTCATTGAGCTCCGTTGTGAGGCTGTCACATCAATGCGATGCTGAAATGGCTTTGGTTGTTACAGTTACAAGGAATGGCCTCCAACCTACTAGGGATGGCCTCCAACCCAGTAGCGATGGCCTCCACTGAAATGGCGTTGGTTCTTGCACTACAGGCCATGTCCTCCCTCTTCGCTCTCTCCAAAGGCTGAGAGAAATGCAAAGATTAAGGTGCCCACGCCAAGCTACCTGAGTCTCGTTCCGAAGCGCTCGTGCGACGCATATGCAAAAGTCGGCCCCTTGGCAGTGGTGAGTGTCAACTGCCACAGAACCAAACCTGGGAAGATCCACTTCCATGGTGCCAAGTGCCCATGGCTGGGTACCCTTTGAAGACCAAGTTCTTAGGGGTCCTAGACTCAGCTTCACTTGCTCGTTTCCCCGCTCAAAGCTGTACAAGGAGGTCAAGGGTTGGGCTTGATGAGGGGCGGACCTCCACACTGGCCAAAGCCACTAATGTTCGGGTCCACACCTCGCGCACAGGAAGTTGCATCCAGGAGGCGAACGAAGAGTGGCGAAATGGAGTGTCTTGAGGAATCCTCTTCCGGAATCAAGCCTGCAGCGCAAAAGACGTGAACATGCCGTTTCCCTCTCGTTTCAGCATCCAGCTGTTCTTCGAACACGCCGGCGCTTTGCGAGACATGTTTATGCTAAAGCAGCAGATCGATGTACCAAACAATATGTCCTTTTTGAGCTTGATTTGGATCGATAAAGCCATCTCTCCCACCTCCCTTCCTTGCCATCCCAGTGACAAAAGCGATATCGCTCGAAGGCCGACACCAGCGTCTCCTCATTGCCGTCCTCCACGTAGACGTGCTCCGGCAAGAGCTGCATGGCCTTCCGGTGAACCCGCCGAAACGCGCGGGGCACGGGTTTCGGACGTCATGCCCCAAAGACACAACTCCTGAGAAGAAAATCCTCGCCTCCGAAAAAAACGGTGGGTCAAGGGCCAACAAGGGCCTTGACTTGAAGTCAAGGGTCCATCAATCCATACAGTTGCTTCAGTCCCAGAGTCTCGCAAGATAACCTTAATGGGGGGGTCTTTATTCAGCATCAATTAAATCTCAACCAGAAGACATGACTGAAATGTTCTGTCACTTGCGAGAAGTGGTTGTGACAAACACCTGTGCAAATATCGCTTGCATGTCTGGCCCTTCCAAGTTCGTAGCAGGCTGATTGTGGTCAGGTTACACACATCGAACGAATAGAAAGTTAAAATGCATCATCAAAGCAAACAAAACTTATCTTGACCGGTGCTGCTGCCAACATGGCTTAGTTGCACCCTGCGTTTCATTGAAAAGAACCAGAACGCCGTCTAAAAGAACAGTTTGTGGCCTGGCTGTAGATCTCCTGCGCCAGATCGTCCCACCTCGACCAGACTTGCGCTGTCTGTTTGCATTGGGCCTTTGGGGATGAGTTGAGCCCATTGAGTGGAAGCAGCCCAACAATAGCTGCAGCTTCTTCCCCCATGAATCGACCGCACATTCACCCGGCACTGACAAACAAACAGGCCGGTGGCTGGCTTTGTGGTTGACAGCTTGGACCAGGAAGAGGTGGGTAAACATCGCACAAATACAGTCAGTACATGCTTAAAAGGCCAAAAGCTGAACTCTGATCTATATAGTTCAAGGATTTGGAGGGAATCCACAGTCTGAGAAGGCTTGAGAAGGCTTGAATTGAACCAAGCGGGGGTACAGTATGTCCCCGTCCTTTTTCATCATTGCAACGCATCACTTCGAGCACTGTCTCAAGCCGAACATAGCAGAACTCCGCAGCCACATGACGTTCACAGGGGGGCCGGAGAACATCTC